GTTGTTGTTGTCTCTATTTCTACATGTATATCAAAGTGTTATTGTCCACCAAGTTTTTGTACGCAGTTTATTTAGATGAATCATTGTACGACTTGTAGTACAGTACATTCTTTTAACCCTGATATGGGAGTCGCAAAATTATTAATATAAATGGCAAAGTAGTAGCTAATTAATTTACAGCAATTCTACTTTTTTAAAACGACCTTATTCCCATTTAAAGCTGTAGCGGAACGTAGGGCAAGCAAAAAATCGCCGTCCAAACTCACCTGGGCCATCCCAGTGGGCATTGTTGGTGCAATATTCTTTATTGGCATGGCTATATTACTCGTTCACTTTGTTCGCAAATCTCATCGACTTCAAGGATCTATGTACGCTCTGCTGAGGCGAAATGGYCAAGGAACCGAGGGAGAAGTTACTTTCCATTCTGGTAATTTTATTTCCGCGTTATTTTTGTTTCATAAAAACTAACGTTCTTATTCGAATAGCTTGCGAACGTTGACAAAATCAAATAAGTAAAGAATGCGTTCCTCTTTGGAATAAGAGAAAAGGGCACTTCTCTGTATATGCATTGGAAATAATGGACTTTCATRAGATATCTCTTCTCTCTTTTCTTTCCCGACCCCTTTAAGACGGTCATGAGAGTTTTTTTTGTTTTTTTTTTTTGTTTGTTTGTTTGTTTGGTTTAGAAAGGTCCAAGGCAAAGAATGATRTTTCATTACAAATAGTGTGATAATTCTTTTCTCAATTTCCAGATGAAGACGATCCGTTGATCACTGGATTCTCTGATGACGTTCCTCTTGTGACTGCATAGACCACGCTTGTATTTTTTATAACGTTAAGAGCTTTTTAAAGATAGTAAACTTTGCAAGATGCCTCTACGGTTGCATTCGAGCCCAAGTTAATGTTACTACCAAKTTCTTTTGGTTAATTCATGATAGAATTGTTGTAGACGTCTGGCCAATCGACCCGAATGCACACCTTGAAAAAACGTGATGGTGACTCCTAAAACCACGTACAATGGTACATTAGCTGTTAGTTCACGTAGCACAGTGAAAAGGAAGAACATATYACGTGTCACCATTGCCAAAAGACTGCTTTTCATAGAAATTTGAGTTGATTTCCAATTAAAGTAACTGTCATTTGATGATTATAACGAAAATACATAAAACTAATGTTCTGTTTATCAACTCTTTTGTTAGTTTTGTAAAAAAAATATGATTTTTCATTTTTAGAAAGGCCCAAATTGATTGTTTTTCAACGACCATGTTAGCATTTTTTTACCCAATAAGTTTAAAATGTGATTTCAATGCACAGTTTTCATAACATGTCAGAGATGCACAAAATATATTATAGCGACAAGTATGCATGTTGCAAAGCAAAGCGTTTTGTAGATATACTATAAAAAATAATATGTAAATTAGATCACGAAATAATATGACCTTGAAAAGTGTTGTTAAAATAAAATAAAATCATTCMGATTAATTGTTTGTTGTAGATTATATTTATCAAACAATGACAACCTTGAGGTGATTGATGGATTATTAAAATAATACCATAATCACTTCCGTGAAGTTCATACTTTGATTATRGAAGATCTTGTATCTTGTCTTGCATCATTTTCTTTTGGCAAGTTAAAAAAGTGATATAAAAATGGAAAGCATTTCTAATATACATGCTATGCACTTGTTGTATATCATATAGAAAAGCTGAATACTATCTTGAATAATACAAAAAAGCTATAAACTTTCTGAAGAAATCTACYTATGAACGCTTGAGTGGCCTCAGACGGCAAAGTTTTCAATCGAATCTCGTGGCTTTTTAGTGACTACTTTAAAGGACAGACCAACACAGACAAAAGCCAAAGCAGTCCCTAATGTCGTGGCAAAGAAGGCCCAACTGAAGGTGCAGTGACCCAGACGATAGGTATCTGCAGTGGGACCACAAGTCTGCTTAACTTCAACGTGTGCCCATCCTGATGGGTAAGCGGCCAAAGAAATGGACAGAAGGAACGCTGGAAGATAAACAAATTCTTCTCTGAGTATTTTGAGCATTCTTCCACGGCCTTGAGYAACCCGAGGGAACCTACATTTATTAAGTTATTCGTAACTTTGAAAACATGACAGACATGAAAAGGTTACGGTTCTTTGCTAAGAATAATGGGATACCAGACGTCGTGGGAGAGACTTCAAACATAACAGCTCATAAAGATATCCATATTATTTTAATACAGATTTAAAGCTAAAACTGTTGTTTTTTTGCTTTGCATAGTCTAGTAAGCCGTCTTGACAGAATAATMGGTTGTTGACTGACACTTTCAATTTTGCGAAGCACGTAAATGTTTGTCCCTGTTTGCTCTCATAACACATGCACAGTACTCTGCTTCTTGAATTGAAATTGAAGCAGTGTAAGAATAAGTACCTTAATAAGAGGCTTTTTATAAACCGCTGTTAATTTAAAATCGATTAGTATGCTAATTATGGAGTAATGAACGACATGTTTTTCCTGTGAGAGATGATAGATTTGTCTTTAACTTTGAATAAAGCATGTCAGCATATTACCTGCAAAGAACTGTACAATTCCAGCAACTTTGGCTGAAGTTCGTGAGATGACATCTCGAGCACAGCAAGCCGCTACAGMAGTGAGACAAACTAACAGAAGAAGACCACATGCTAATCCAATAAGGACTGTACATGCTCGCCATGCTGTTGATGGAATATCGTTAAAAGAAGAATACCTCGCACAGCCTTGTTTCACGTATGTGAGCCCATTATCACCTTTAACAAGATAGTTACATCGACGAAACACGCCAAGGTAGACTGTAGTGTTAAGGGTGGTACCCTTGATCCAGTATGGAAGATAATATCCTGTRCAACATAAGAGGGCACATAGTACCGATGTAAGAGCCCAAAGAATTCCTGTTGAGGTCACTCTATTACATGACATGCTCTCCGATTCACACTGTAACTTTGTTTGACAAACKCGTTGATTTGTTYAGAAGCTTTCCAGCTTCTTGTTCGGGACACCTCAGTTCAAGAGAGTTGTCTAAGCCTCGCTCCAATTAAAGTAGTTGTCTCTCGACAAACAGACTTTGTACTACATGTATCTAATTAGATCTTTTCAGCAGTTGTCAATCTTAGAATTTGTGTTTCAGATCTTTGGTATACATCACTCTAGATCTAATGTYCACCACCAGTTATATTGCTCGATATGTTCAACTGTTTACTCACGCTTCACTGCGTAATAAGCTTGACAATAACAAAGCATTTATATACCGATTAAAACAGACGATAACAAATATCGGCCAATCGTGGTCGCAGTGAGGGGTCATCATACTCACTAGTGACGACATCACTTTGCTGAATATCATATTTTTATGGAGTACAAAGTATAACGGTCGAAAATGACCGCAGACATAGCTTTCTTATAGCTGAGCTCATGTGGGATCATGATCGATACTTTCTCTTGTTAGATCGGGATCATAGTGGTGGATCTAGAACGTTACTGTGGGTTGACTGCCTAAAGAACAAACCATTGAATAGATAGATTTAGGGCTGCAGAAAAGGAGTTTTCTTTCAGATGAGTCGACGCTGATTTAGTTGTTTTTCATATTAGTCTTCGATTTTATTTCTGTATTTTTGAACCTTAAAAAAGGGCCAGAGTAGCATCAATTCAGACTGAATTCTCGTTGCACAAACCATGGTTAAAACGATGGGATCATGGATTACAAAAGTGGGATTGTCAAGATATTGAATGGGATTAAAATAAAGAACAATATTTTGATATTTATTAAGAAGGTTGTCCTGAAAATGTGCGATCGACACGTCTGCAATGCAGGCTGAGATTAGAATTTGATGAGAGGGTGAAAAACTACACATAACTCTTGAACGAAAAAAGGCACAATTATTGCGCAGGGCCTTGAATGCTTCCCCCCCCCCCCCCCCCCCCTTGAATTGAACGGAGTGTACAGCGCTGACAATGAATGAGGATGTTGTCAATGTGTTGTGCGCCCCCTGGATACTCCCCTGATAAAATGAATGGATGGGAAATACTAACACGATTAAATATTTGCAGTCGCGAATAGATAAGCAAATGATAAAAAGCATTTACTCCACAGGAACCCATTACATTGGCTCCTGGCATAATGAGATGGYAGTGARCGAGTAAGAGCTGAGATCTTTTCTGGTCATATGMWTACTGGAAATGATTTATATGTCTGAGAGTAACTCGGTSAATTGTCAAAACAGTGGGTTAGAATATAATAGAGAGGGGATAGTGTTAATGAAATCATTAATCATTGAATATACTGGTTGCCAGCGATGTCTTGCCAGTTCTATTGTTWTGCTGTTTTCCTAGCGACTTAGGAATTGAGTTTAGTAATTCCGATATTCAATCCAAATAACACCAAAACTTTATCGCGAAACTTCTTTTCAAGATACGTGTGACAATGAARAATCGCCTARGGCAAGAAAATATGAAATKKTRATCAAAAACAAGGAAAAAATCATGAAACAACCGTACGCTGTTGATTAATGACGGCAGAATGCTGCAAAGTTTATTAATAACAAACAGCGTTTCCCTGACAACGTGACGTAGTTTATACTCTCTCCCATTTTTGAATACTAATTACTYGTGGATTTTTAAAAGATTCAAGCCAAGAAAAGCAAATTTCCAGAAAAACTMAGTGTAGTGCGTCTWAAAGTCGCAAAAAAGTCAAGAAAAACTACTTGRAGTCAGGAAGATAAGTCAGAGAAACCTATAAAGTGTTGCCGTGAAATGGTTTTYCGCGGTTTCTATACACATGGAGCACATCGAATTATATAATTGATACTAAATAAAGCGGGAAAAACTTCCTGACTACCAAGAAATAATTATTCTACATATGGAAGTCGATATTTATCCAAGGAATTTAACAGGAAAGTACAGTTTTATCCGTTTAGGATGGATCTTTGTTTGGATTCTATTTTGCTTGTCAAGCAGCGAAGCTGGTAAGACCTCACGATCTWGTTTGTAATTCAAGTTCAAATGATCGATAAAATCTCTTTCTCTAACTTTGTATTTAATGTCTCCTCTCTCTCGCAGCTCCGTGTGAATGTTCAGTGTGTGGCTCGCAATGTACTGGGAGTATTGGTTGCCCAGCCGGCCAGTTTTTGGTTGTTAACGGAAGTAGCTGGGGCTGTTTCCAATGCCCAACAGGCCACTAGTAAGTGCCTCACTTCAAAAGTTAATTTCATGGTTTTGTTGTACTATATAGTATATCGTTTAATCACCGTTAGTCGTAGTGCTTTGAAAACTGTATTGATTAAATGTGTTTGAAATGGGAAAAGAGGTGTTTATGTTCAAATTATATAAAAGAAGATATGGTACACTAATCTAAAAATGAGTTAATAATTAAACAATAAAAACGTGATCTAAATCAGATTTATAAGCAAAATTTTTCTTTGGCGTAAAATGATTTCTTGTTTCTCAGAACAGGCTGAGGTTTAGTTTGTTTGTACAAKGATAATGTCAAACAATATTTTTTGCCAATTTCATGTCTCTTCCAAACAATACATAATACATAATTTTGTCAGCTGCTGTCAAATTCCAAAAACTATGACCTTGCACTGGTTAGTCAGATTATCTAGTGTCTGAAAGAAATATATCCATCACTTTTGAGGCAATTGCATTTCTCTGTGGTGTTATATAATGTTTTTTTATACTAAAGTAACATCCTGGTGACTCTAAGCCTGCAAAGCATTCTTTTCTAGTAGTCTACAAGAAACTAATGCTTCACAAGCTAAATGTCATCAAAAAATGTGCAAGCTATACAAAATGCATTTGCAATTATGAAATTTGTTAGTGCTTCACAGAAAAAAATCAGAGAATAAAATGCTGAGAATGATTCAAATTCATGTACCAAGTAACATATTGATGTTAAATTAATTGTTATTAATGTTTAATTGGATTTGWCAGAATACTCCAATTTTGAGCCTCAAAACCAAGCAACATATTCTTTTGTTTTATTGATAGCTYGAGAAARTKCATGGAATTTGAAAAGAAAGAATAGAATTGATTTGCAAACCCACACTTTTATTCTCAGTTAGGAATATTTTGCGCACAAATGAGGCTAACACAGAGCATTGGAGAAATGAAACCGGATTAATAGTAWACCAAAATAARCTGTTGCTGTTCTGCTAATYAGTGCTAATTTTGTAACTAATTTGATTTTATAGCTGCCCAGGAGGTCGAAACGCTTCTCAGCCTTGYCCTACTGGTTATTATAACACAGATCCTGGACAGCTTGATCAAGGAGCCTGTAAAGTAAGTAGTTTCCATTGCCATCTTTGATAATAATCTCTTTGGTCTGCTACTACATATTATTTATTTTTATTTCTTTACAGGAATGTCCTGCTGGTCACTTCTGTTCTGTTAAGGGYGAACAACCTCGTCCATGTGAATCAGGCACCTATACAAACAATACTGGCCAAACAAAATGTGAACTATGTCCAGAAGGATATAGCTGTGAGAATCAGGCTTATAAGCCAGTAAAATGCACAACTGGGTATTACAGTATAAAAGGCAATTCAACATGTACTCCKTGCCCTGCTGGATATTCTTGCCTGAATGGACTGGCTCCTGAAGTATGCCTTGAAGGGTATTATTCACCTGCAATGTCAACTAAGTGTTCAGCCTGYCCATCAGGTTATAAATGTCCATCTAAAKCAATGCAATCAGGAACACCTTGTCCAGAGGGATCATACACAAATAAGACAGGCCAACTGTCTTGCACRACATGTGAGGCTGGACGTAGTTGTTTGAATCGAGATTCATCCATATCATGCCCTGCTGGGCAATACAGTCAAGAAGGGCAGGCGGGATGCTCCCCTTGTGGTCAGGGAAATTACAGTAGTGAGGGAGCTGCAATTTGTAAGCCTTGTCCAGCAGGTCAGGAATGTATRGATCCAGCGCAAGCACCAGTTAATTGTACTGAAGGAAAATACTCAGGTCAAGGAGAAGCATTATGTAAAAGTTGTAACATTGGTCAGRTTAGCTCACCTACTAAGACATCTTGTATCCCATGCCCAGCTGGTTATTATTGTTTAGAACCAAGGTATTTAATGTTACATAATCATACTTACAATTATATTTTACAATGTACACTGTGCGCAATAACTAAATAATTAGTGGTAAATTACTTCCTTTGTCTATTAACTAACACTATTTAGTAGTAATATATTTGTATCTCTCGACTGATATTTATTTTTTGAAAAATTTAGGCTTTTTATTCACTTCTTGTCATTGATTGACTTTGTGTAAACATTAACTTAGTCTATAAACCTTATTGGTAATACTTTAGAATGTACTGTTAACTCAGAAGAGATTTTGCACATGTATATTGACTYACAATCAGTAATATCAGTACTTAATTTTATATATTTTTAGTGCGACTCCTACTCCATGTCCATCAGGCATGTATTCACGTGGAGGAGCATCATCCAACTGCACAGCRTGTCCTKCTGGTAGTGTATGCCCTAACCCWGCCTCTGATCCTGTTGTCTGTGGAGGAGGTAAGTCAAATACTGCACAACTTTATTGTTTTGCTAGACAGTATGATGTAACGTCTTGTASATGTGCTTCAAGATGACCTTTATTCAACATGTAAAGGGTCAACATACAAACTAGATGTGGCTTGTAGTCAGCCATAAAAGCACATGGTTTTTTATACAATATCACATGACTGATCACGTGACATATGAGTGAGATTCTTGAACAGACAAAGGGGAAATAATGGTGATATGTAAGGGCTTATTATTACTGGGAAAATACTCAAATGTTTTTATTGAATKATTTATTATTTGTCTCTCCAATAATCTAAAATATTCTTTTTAAAATTTATAGCTACATATTCCTTGGCCATGTGGACAAAGTGTGAAGAATGTCCTGCTGGTCATCGTTGTCCTCAGCATAAATCCAAAGAACTTTGTCCATTTGATGGCGCATCTGGCTATTTCTACAGTACTAATTCAAGTGAGTATCTAAACATTTAAAACTCTTTCAGAATTTTGAACTAAATGTTTATAATAGTATATTGAATACATTTGTAATTTCTTGTGTCATGCAGTGCTTGATTGTGCAAGTTGTCCCAATGCAACTACTGGRAAAATTTGTCAATCGCGTGACAAAGAACCTATCAGTTGTAAAGCTGGCCAGCGACCWAGTGATGCTGGTACCTCATGCGTYCTCTGCAAAGCTGGCCACTATTGCTCCACACC